ACTTTGTAGGCTTAATCTTATTTGCCTTCTGGAGAGGACAGTCTTCGTCTTCTTTACAGGGCTCGTTGTAAGTTCAGAGACTTTAGTTGAGTTCTAAAAAATATCTTCATAAAACTGGTATTTTATAAATATAATAATACTGTATTTTTTACTTAGACTGGACCACCTTTAACAGGACTAATACCAGGGGAATGCAAATTTTGAATATAACAGCTCCCGCAATGGTTAACATGGTATTCAGTGGCAATGCCTCCGTACGTCCAATAGTCCTATTTTCTATAACTGTGACACCTTATAACTTTCTATTGTAGAAAGTTTAACAAATTACTTTTATCCTTAGAATTTGACAGCGAATGGGACCGCAAAAGTAGCATATGGAGTCGGTATCGACTCCGAACACCACTGGCTATATGCACCGTTTCGTAAGTTGGAATCTTTGACCTTTTTGATTTGATTAATGTTTACCTTGAGTGAAGATAAATTATGTGCTGGCCCTTAAGGAGCTTTCAAAACATGATGATTAAGTGCCAACAACATATGGTTGTCAAGCATACTTTTCAGGCTAAAGATGGGAAAACGTATAGAACTTAAACATTAACAAAACATTATAATTGCAACATATAACTTTCATGCACTCATTCTAACTGTGTTAGTTTGATTAGCGTTCGGTGTATTCTCGATTAAACACTAAAACAGAAATTATCGGTAAATATTTGAGGACGATTAGGCGAACAAGTTATGCTCTTTGCGTACCAAATAAAGCACTTTGGTTACAGCAGGTGCAGAGCTAGCTTAACTAGTAAACAAAATAATAGTAGAAATTTATTTTTTGCTTCCATGAAAAATATACATTTGAAAAATGCATTGTGTTGCTATATTCCTTTAGATGCACGTCATTGCGTAACAAACACAGTAACAAAATTAAATAATGTAGCCTTCTAATAATTATATTGGTACATTAATCATATTATTATTTCTGTCGAAAATAATATGTGAAGATGACACCTTACATTCATTATTGCTTTAAAAGTTGCTGTTTTTACTTGCATATTGAAATTCCATATAGCAAAATACAAATTTATTAAACCGCAAATTTATTAAACCGCATATTTGGACATTAAAAATTATTGTCTAGAAACAATATTAGATTAAATGAACAATAAATGTTCCTCTATACCACATTATTAAAGTTAACAAGGAGGTGTCCACAGCGAAAGGTCTTCTACTGACAGGAGAAATCAAAAATGAAACTCTGCAGTATGTAGTCAACACGACCAACGGTACACGCGCAATAGAGATTGTCCCAAAAAATGAAACCATGCGGACGGTATTCATTCATATTTCCTTCAATAGCACGTGCACCAATGAATCTCACGAAGAACCCACCGAAGCCGATTTCAAATATTATGTGCAGCCAGATAAAAACTTCTCAGTAATCATGGGGACGATGTTAACACCGAAGGTAAGATTTCACTGCGTTTAAGTGTGTGTGAATGTGCGTCTGATCCCCTGAGAAATGGTGCATTCTTCATTGATGCTGGATGATGCAATTCATGTTGTTCTTTTATTATTTCAGTCCGTTGCGTTAGGTAATCAGTCAGTCAAAGAAGGCAAACTTTCCAATCCGTGCAGACCCGGGAAACCTTGTTGGCAATCCTTAACTGGTGAGTATCTGATGAAACGAAGTAATTTTTAGCGTATGCAGTACTCGTTATTTTATACTCCGTACTTAAATATTCTTTCCACATGTAGTCTACTTCATGAAAATATATGTTATTTTATAGGCAACCAATATGCCGTGATGCTGATACAACCACTGTCCGGAGATGGAACAATTTTAGTAAGAGCCGAGGCCAACAAGAACTCAACATCCGAACTATTTCTTAAAAGTGATAATTCAAGTTCGTCAAGTAAGTCTCAAGTGTGCCGCATTTAGATATTTTTTGCGCTTCAGGCCTTGATAAGGAAGTTTAAGCGGGTGCAAATATTTTAATCACTGTATATGTACACTGGTCGACACAAGTGAATAGCAAGACTTTGTTCCCTAAAAGGTGTGTATTTAATCGGTTAATGCACGAAAATAATTAACTTTCAATAAATTATTATTTCACCAGCGGTCGAAAACATTACATTTGTGTTGGTCTGATTCAGGGCATGTTACAAAGCATCAACTATAGCAACTGAATGTGTGAGTAGTGAATTAATAGGGCGAATGCTTACCTTCATAACTCTTGTGAAAGTATGGAAGCAAAAGAAATTATCAACATGTGGATGCAAAGTATTCTGATCAGGACTACTATCTTGATAATTACAAAAACGTGATTATGTTTTAGGACAAAAAATAACTAACCCTAATCATATTTATGCATTCTGGTGGTGAAGGTCGTCAACTTCTTTACACAGTTCGTTGTGAATGCAAGGACTTCATATGCGTTCAAAAAATATACGTGTATGAATGCCTTATTCTACATATTTATAATAATTATGTACTTATACATAGATTGGACAGCGTTTTACAAGAATAACTCCAGCGAAGTGCCGATGTTGAATATAAGCGCTCGAGCAATGGTGAATATGGTATTTAGTGGCAATGCATCCGTAAGTCCAAGCATTGTATTTTTTATAAACATGAGGCCGCAGTATAGATTATCGTAGAACTCTTATTACATTGTTTTTATTTTTAGAATGTAACAGCGAATGGAACTGCAAAGGTCGCATATGGAGTCGGTATCGATTCTGAACACCACTGGTTATATGCGCCGTTTCGTAAGTTTTGTCACTTAGCCAGTCAAATATGCGTATCGTTAAACTTGATTTAAGGTTCATTTTATGCTTGCCCTTTGGAAGCCTTCAGAAAATGATAGCGATAAATTGCCGAAAGCATATGTCTGTCAATTACAATTTCCAATTTAAAAATGGGACAATTTACATAACTTAGATATTAACAAAATATGATAATTGCAACAGAGAAAAAAATATTATTTTCATGCACTCATTTCAACTGTGTTAATTTGATTGGCATTTAGTATGGTATAGAAAAACCAACAAAACAAAAATTCTCGGACAATAGTAAGGAATGAATATACGGACAATTATGATATCTGTGCATCAACTGAAACGCCTTGGTTACATGAGGTTCAATCGATATTACCCAGAAAATACCCTTTCACTGTCAATTTTTTTCTTAATCACAGGGAAAATGATGCATTTGAAAAATTCATTGGGTGTTATAGTGCTTTAGATGCATTTTACACAGATAACGTAAAATGAAGCTGCCTTCTAGTAATAAAATTAGTAGACCAATTATATTATACATTTTATCGAAAATAGTATTATTTAGGAGGTACTTTACACTCTTTATGGCTTTAAAGGTTGCCGTATCTACTTGCAGATTGAAATTTCATGTACTACAAATACAAATATTTCAAAGGGTATAGGAAGTTGATGTAAAATGACATTAATTATGTTGGCCTAGAGGCAATATTGTATTATATGAATAATCGCTGTTCCTCTATATCAAATTATTAAAGTCAACAAGGAGGTGGCCAAAACGAAAGGTCTTCTGCTGACAGGACAGATCAAAAATGAAACTCTGCGGTTCGTACTGACCACGCCCAACGGTACACGCGTAGTAGACATTGTCCCGACGAACGAATCTATGCCGACGGGATTCATTTACGTTTACGTTGACGCCAAACCCGATTTCACAACTGAGATGCAGCCAAATACAAACTTTTCAGTTATGCTTGTGACGCGCTTAAACACGACGGTAAGATTTCAATGCCTTTACATGTGTGTGCGTTTGTTTACACATGTTAACCTTTAGTGAGGTATCTCGGCTCGAAGCTGAACCATTCGTTTCCTCGTTGTCTGCGGCCGCCTCACATTAGACAACTGACCGGCTTGGAGGTAGGGGAGAGAGTGAGGTCGCCGACGAAGCTCATTTTTCTTACTATAACCTAACTGGTGGGCTTAAAACTATCATGATGCACTAACAGAGCTGATAAGAAACACGGACGGCGTATTCAGTCCAGTGCGTGGTGAAATGTATAAAGCGGCTGACTGCCAGATTGAAAGACGGGCTACACTGGCTTCTTATTTAGGGTACGCTTCAGAATTTGTGCAACATGCTGACATATGCGAAATACTCATATGCTTTCCTAATTGGCATAGACTCAGATTATGATACTGGTTATCGTGTAGTCGATTCTGAAGTTATTTCAGACATGATGTAATGTGGGCTTTTTAACGAACTTATTCTGACTGCTTACAAAACGTATATGCCGTAAAAAGTTACTACGTAAATATCATGCGTTTTTATCACTGATTTCAACTGTCCTTAGAAATAAGAGCATACTTTTATGGAAAGCGTAAACCAAAAATATCATTTCTTGTAGTCCTTTGGTAGCAACTTATTCCCTCCTTAAATTGTATACTTGAAGAAAGGCTATCTTTTGGTTTTAAAAATACTTCTAATTATGAGTTTTTAAGGGTTTTTTACGATTATGAGGTGTGAATTCATAATGCACCGTATCCGTCAATTTCTTTTTGTTTCTTATATTGTGTAAAACATGCTTCACACCTATTTTAATATGTTATAAGAACTAGGTGACCTCTTCCTCAAACTATAAGCAAAAACGTGCTTTTCCTTAAACAGAATGCACACAGTGCGCAGTTTTTAAACCTTGAAGTTGAGCGAAGCCGTTAATAGGTTTTAAACTATTCGGTACTTTAATAATATTCTAAAGGCGAAAGATCACCTTTCCCCACGTACACAATTTAAAGGAGGCGTAAATTGCCACCAAATGAGGAAAAGTAATATTATTTTCGTTTTCCATAAAATATATTTGAATTTATAAATCCAGTCAAAACCAATGATAAAAGAGCATAATATTTTAGGAGTTACTTTCTAAGGTATATAAGCTTTGTTGGTGGTCACAACGACGCTCATTAAAATGTTCGCATCCTATCATGACTAAAATAAATTCAGAATACACTATGCGATAATCAGTATCAAAACCTGTGTCAATGCCGGTTAGCGAAAGAGTATTAATCTTTCGCATATATCGGTATGTTGCACGAATTCTAGCGCATACTTCCATGCAGCTAGGATCCAAGCACTGTGTGGCGGCAGGCGAAGGGGGCTTCGACGGATCAAGCTACTTTAGTGGGATAAGTTAATAGGTAAATCCTTTACTACTACAATCATCACATTCAGTTTATCTTCGCAAAAGGATATCAGTGGGATGCGCTAGATAGGAGCAATCACTTATTCTATACAGGCACATTTGTGTTTATTAAGGAGGGATTTAACTGCCGGACGAGGGCGCGACCGCAGCCATGAGGGCCGCATCTAAAGTCTTTAAGGTTGGTGCTTAATCACCGTAAGGTCTAAAGAGTCAGTTGCAGGGAGATGATTAGGCAGACCGGACTGGCTTAGGCACGCTAGTGCAGGTTCACTTTCTGGCAGCCACAAGAGGTTGAGCATGGGTGCGGTTTGCGGCACATGTTATTGGCTGTCCCATTGCTGACCGACACTGCCGTTGTATGCCCCAATGCCACTTGCGCCCGATCCAACCTCCGGTCTTCTTGACTCTCTCTGAACCCCGAAAACCGGTGGGTGAGGGAAGAGAGGGAATGGTAGTTGATGCTGACTCCCGTACAAACTTCTGTCCCAGCGCCACCATGCCGTGGAGCATAGGGTCAGTATAATCGACATCTGCGGTCGAAATGCCGTGTAAATTTACACATTATTCATTTTATGCTTTTATTATCTTAGTCCATTAAACTACGAACTGAGCCAGTTCCAAAAGGCAACCTTTCCAATCCGTGCACAAATGGGACGTCATGTTGGCAAGAATTAACAAGTGAGTCTTTGTTGAGACGAAATCATCTCTTAGAGTATGCAGTAATCCCAATTATAAATCCGCCATTTATGCCAAATCCTCAAAACTTTTCCCCTTTGGTTTACTTCACGAAATGCTTTTTTTAATAGACCGACAATATGCAGTGCTTATGGTACAGCGAAATCTAACAGAGGGCGCGATTACGCTAACAGCAAATGACAGCAGAAATTCAACAGCCGAAATAACTATCAAAAAATCTTCAGACGGTATGCCTTTCTTGTACGAAAAATCAATTATCATTTTTAAATCACGGCATTTATAATGGAATGGTTGTGGTTGTTCATTTATAGGGCGGTTTTTATATAAACTGGCAATAAAAAGAAAAATTAGGACACGACCACATTTAATTTGTTTACTTAATGCATAAACCCATTCATAACAATTGCTGGGGCATCTGTCTTCCGAAAATAAAACTGAAAAAACGCTAGGTTTTCTTTCATCATTTGTCGCAACCATTACATTTGTCTACGCCTACTGCGCTCCTTTGGTTCACTAATGGCGTGATTTAAAGCACCAGTTCTCAGTACCGGATGTAGAGATAGTGAATTTGCAGGACTGATACAACACTTTTTATCCCTCCTCGACGTATTTATTCAAAGAAAATGACCTAACAGTGTGATGCCGAATGCTGCAAACAGAAATATTTGCGCAAATATCTTTATCATGAGTAAAATTTCATTGTGGTTACATACCAAAACTACTTAACCCTAATTATAGGTTTTTCTCCTGAAATATAGAATATCCAGCTACTTATATATAACCATTTTTGAATAAGGAAATTTAAGCTTTGTTTTAAAAGTATAAAAAATAACCACAGTTTACAGGGATGATAATACTCCTTTTAATATACAGATTGGGTGACTTTATACGTAAATCAATCAAACCAACAGCAAGAACTCAGTATCAGCGCGCCCTCAATGGTTGACATGACATTCAGTGGGAATGTATCTGTACGTGTAGTAATTTAACACTTATTACGCAAACAACATCGTAGTTTTGCCCATTGTAGAAATATTACGAAATTGTTGTTTTTTTTCAGCATATCCAAGTTAATGGAAGTGTAGGTAAAGCGCAGGGAGTCGGTGTCCCTTCGGATAGGCATTGGTTGTATGTGCCTTTTAGTAAGTTTTAAAATTTAGCCCTTTTTATCAGATTGTGATCAGAATTCATTTATTATGATTCTGCTGGCCTTCGAAAGACGTCATCTTATATTGTGATTGCAAAAGGCAAAGGACCAGCTTTTGTTCTGCCGTATAAGAGGTCATTTCAATTCTGTTAACGTGATTGACATTAGATGTTTTACAGCATAAGTATTAAAACAGAAATTCTCTGAAACTACTTGAGAAAGGATATACCACCTGATCATGGCTTCTCTATATCAACTGAAGCTATTGGCAGCATTATGTGGTCCACAACCAGGTTTACACCTATACAAGAGTATATGTTTGGGGTCCAGCTACCATTAAATTAGATTCAAACTAACTTTTTGGCTGTTATATGCAAAAAGCTGAATGCAGAAATAAACTCAACGGGCTTAGCCTCATAATGTTTATATTTGTGTAGAAGTCATATTGTCGTAGGTGTGATATCAATACGAGCATATGCACGATGCGTATCCCCTTCATCGTGGCACTTTACACCGAGACGTTCTTTAAAAGATTTAAAATCATTGTACTCAAATACAAATACAGGAAGCCACATTGCAGACGTATGTATACGCATATTAAAAATTCTAGTTTATAAACAATATTATATTATGCGGCTGATCATTTTTCCCTTATACCAAAATATTTTAGGCAAGGAATATCCGTCAGGACTGAAAGCTATTCTGCTGACAGGAAAAATCGGAAATCAAACGCTGCAGTACGTATTAAATACGACTGCCGGTATAAAGATTATAAATGTTTTCCCTAACGGTAACTCCACCCACAAAAAATTAATTCACATTTCATTCAATGAAACGGCCCCCGAGCCCACAGCTACGACGACCGAGGCTTCTGACACAGAGAAAAGCACCAAGACTTCCCCCGCGTACACATCTACACCAGATGACGCTTTTAACACGGATGCCTTTGAGAATTTCAGCGAGGACACATCTACGCCATACGATTCTACCATGGATGTCTCCGATGGATTCAGCGAGGACATATATAGGACTATGTGAACTGACTGAAAATATGACGAACAGTTACAGACCTAACTTCATTCTTAAAGTTCTTTTTTGTGTGGTTCACAGTCATTTCTTATTGAATAATAAAAAGTCGTTGCATCTGTTCTGTTGCATATGTGCGCATTTTAAGGTAATAGTTGACCAATGTTACGATGATAGAAGGTTTAAATATTCAGCAATATGAACACGTTAATTGGCTTAAACTTATCATGTGCCTACTTTACAATGTACGTTCAGGTTATTTTATAAGACAATTGCGGCGAAAACGTACGTCAATATACCTAGCAGTTAAGTAATAATGCAAGCTATAATGTGAGGTGTCGTGCTGACAATTTGCGTCCTCTCTAGTACATTCATTGTATGAAACTATGCAAAACCTTAAAATATTTGATTATGAAATTTAGCTGGAACGATATTGAGAAAATGCATTTGGAGAAAATGTTTAGCACAATTTACATAATCAACGCTTTTTATCAGCTAACTATGGGTTTCCTTGCTGGTAAATCGCTTGGTGCATATGTTGCTATAACTTGAGCTAATGTATGTTCGTTGCCTGTATTTGTTTAGCGGCAACAGTAGCTTGTGTAGCCCCACTCATTAATCCCTACAACTTGCATTATTTCCTAAGAAAACGGTGGTTATAGGTGGAAAATTAGGACACGCAGTGGAATATACTTAAATAAATGCTAAATGCATTTTTA